GTGTGTTTGCCTCCCACTCGCTGCTTCTCGAGTATGACTGTGTGTTTTCACCCCGCTGCCGCCCACACAGGAAGTGTGTGTGTGTGTGTGTGCGTGTGCGTGTGTGTGTTCATTTGCCCTGTGGCTCTGATCTACTATCAGCTCTTCAATGAGCTTTTGGAAACATCAGAAATAGAGTGTGAGTCAGAAAGGCCTCATCAGCAGCGACCATACGACTCCAACACACCTCAGTGTGTGTGTGTGTGTGTGCGCGCATGTGTGTGTGTGTGTGCGTGCATGAGTCTACCAATTCCTGAGGATAAATCATCTGTGGGTTCAAAGGATGAGAGCAGGAAGCATCGACTCTTTAATGAATGAATCTGGGTCGGCAGCATCCGAAGGTTTGTGTTGTTCTAATGTTGAAGGTCTCCTTCCACATGTTCAGGTTAGAAGATGATTAGAACTCCGGACCTTTGAGTCTGAACCTTCAAATCTGAGGGAGAACATTCTCCATGAAAGAGAAAAGACGTCCGGCTGCCTCTCTGAGGAGCTGCGCCCATCAGAATGGTTTCTGTCTTGGTTTCTAGTCAGCTGATCACCTGAGCTGCGTCGTCAGATAGCATCAGAGTGATGGTTGGTGCTGACTGGACATTCTGTGGTTAAACATCTGGTCCTGATTCCGAGTGTTCCAGATTCCATCAGGTTGTAATTTAAAATATCACGCTATGCAAAATTCATCGTTCCGCATCCTTTCGTGCTGCCATGTGACTCTCTACTTCCTCCAGAAACACTCCAATAAAAACCGTCTGTCCATTATCTGTCAGAGTTTGGTTCCTGGAATCATCTCCCTAGAGTGAGACATTTCAAAAAGTCCCTTATTGTGACATCACAGTAAGGGATAGTGGCATAAAACCACCTCATTTGTAGATGCTGAAGGAGCAGCAGCTCCACCCTTTTCATCTCATAGCAGCCAATCTGTGGATGAGTGGGCGTGGCCTGCAGCAGTTGTTTTCTTAACTCTCTAACAGCCAGCCGTTTCCTGATCAGTAAAGCTGAAAAGTGATTTTACTGTTTTTGAAGAGTCGCATAGCATTGTGCTCTTTGATGATGTCAGCGCCAAAACTACCCAAACAAAGCGTAGACTTTCTAGAGTTATCCGTTCTTTCATGTTTCGTTGTTGAATTGTGAGCAGCAGAAGCTTTTCCGGTTCGTGCATCGCTTCTTCCACACCAGTGGCCCAAAACAGTCTCCTAATGCATGGATTTTCTGCTTCCTGATCATGTGACGTGTGACACACGCAGATGAAGATCAGTCAGTAAGTTAAAGAGCAAGTCACCCCCTACCAGAGTTTTACTTCCTGTTTGAAAAATGCAACAAACGCTGTTGCCTAGGGGCGCTAGTGAGCCAGCAATGGAGTAAGACGCTCAGTACGGAGCTCCTGCCTAAACTCTCCTAAAACTCTGTTTCATTTTGCTCGTGTGGCATGTCCGACGGGTGCACAAATTTGTAACCTCTACAGGCAGTCTACGTTTGGACAGTGGGCGTTCAGTAAATGGCGAGTAGGTACACAGGCCCAGCGGCTAGCAAGGGAGCTAGCCCGTTGGTGCAGCCTTCGCCAGCTCGGCCGGACCAGATGCTCGCTCCGGCCCCGGAGGGAAAGATGGATGCGGAGTCCCTGAAAGCGGAAGTCCTCACCTCACTGAGAGCGGACATTGCTTTAATTATTAGGTCTGAACTGAAAAGTGTTCTATCTGAAGAGCTAAATGCAATCAAGGGTGAGCTAAAGGAACTCAGATCGACTGTTCGCTCCGATGTGGATTCTGTTAAAGCCACGGTTGTCAGTGTGGAGGAAGGGCTCACAACCTGCTCTGATGAAGTCACCATGTTGCAAACAGCTGCCACTGAGCTGAAGCAGGAAGTCACAGAACTTACGGAGAAGAATGAAGATATCGAAGGGAGGCTGCGGCGGTGCAATGTTCGTATTGTGGGAATCGCAGAGGAAGCAGGCTCGAGCACCACGGTTTCAGTTTCCAAGATGTTGAAAGAAGTTCTGCAGTTGGAGAAAGAGATCCTGATTGACCGCTCACACAGAGGCCTTGCACCAAAGAAGCCAAACGGCAAACCCCGGGTCATCATTGCAAAGTTACATCATTACCAAGATTGCCTGGATGTGCTACGACGTGCTCGGGAACGAGGCCCGCTGCGTTACAGAGGGCAGCCGGTTGCAGTTTTTCCAGACGACACTGCAAGGGTTGCTAAGGCCCGTGTTGCGTTCAGTGACGTCAGGAATCTGCTGAGGGGCAATCGAGATGTCCGTTATGGAATACTATTCCCTGCACGTCTTCACATCTCGTTCAAAGGGGACACCAGAGAGTTTCAGAATCCGGAGAGGGCGACGGCCTACGTGAGGAGCACCGTCGTGGCGGACGAACCCCCGGGGGACAATAATCATACTTTTCATCACGTTTTTATCATCAGAGATATCACCCTCTTCCCTCCTGTTTTCTTTCTCTGTTCTGCAGACACCCAACTGATGAGGAGGTGGGTTCAAAATGTACTTTCATACATATAAAACAATACTGACATTGTAGTTCGAGTTCTGTAATCTGAATGCACATTCCTTGTTAAGGAGAGTGGGCTGGGGCCATTTTGTTGTTCACTTAGTGGTTTCCCGTTATCCACATTTATGTGTGGTTTGTTACTAGGTGGGGGTTTTGGTCGTCGTGTTCTTGTTGATGACTGGGGTGGGATTATTGGGGTTCCTGCTGGGCCTCTTTTAATGGGTTATGTCATACGCTGCTGGTGTGAAGTCCAAGATCCTGTTATAAAAGTGATTCTGAACTGCCTCGCTCTTTCTATAATTAAAAATGGCTAATGTTACCGCTATAGGACAGGGTATGGGCTGCTCAGTCAAGTTTGTTAGCTGGAATGTCAAATCATTAAACCATCCCGTGAAACGAAAAAAGGTTCTTGTACATCTTAATAATCTGAACGCTGACATTGTTTATCTCCAAGAAACCCATCTGCGTGTTGCTGATCAATGTAGGTTGGAGGGGGGTTGGACTGGACAAACGTACCATTCTAATTTCAATTCTAATACGGGGGGGGGGGGGGGGGGGGGGGGGGGGTGTCACTATTCTTATAAACAGAAGGGTTCCTTTTATAATGTCCAAAGTAGAGTCTGACCCTGCAAGACGTCATGTGAGGGTGGTGGGCCGTCTTCATTCATGCCCCGAACTGCGATGATTCTGTTTTCTTTAACAATGCTTTTTTCACAATTGCCTAATATGGATTTGCATCATATTATTTTGGGTGGGGATGTGAACTGCGTTCTATCCACAGCTTTGGATCGCAGTTCAGAGTCAGCTGAGGTCATTAAAACTTTTCTCCAGGCATCAGGTTTAGCGGACGTTTGACGTTTTACAATCCTAATACCAAGAACTACTCTTTTTTCGCCAGTCCATAAGTCATTCTCAAGAATAGATTATTTTTTCATAGATAAGAAACTCCTCCCAAATGGATCAGATTGTGAGTATCAACCTATTGTCATTTTGGACCATGGCCCTTTAACTATGACATTGTGCATTCCCGGGGAAGCCTCGGGACACTGACCTCGGAGACTCAATCCTCGGCTTCTTTCTGATGATGTGACTTTTATTAATTCTGAAATTGAATTTTTTTTTGCCCAGAATCAGACTCCAGGGGTTTCATACTCTTTAATTTGGTTGTCGTTGTCGTTGTCTTCCTCCGCTTATCCGGGTCCGGGTCGCGGGGGCAGCATCCCAACTAGGGAGCTCCAGACCGTCCTCTCCCCGGCCACCTCCACCAGCTCCTCCGGCAGGACCCCAAGGCGTTCCCGGACCAGATTGGAGATGTAACCTCTCCAACGTGTCCTGGGTCGACCCGGGGGCCTCCTGCCGGCAGGACATGCCCGAAACGCCTCCCCAGGGAGGCGTCCAGGAGGCATCCTGACCAGATGCCCAAACCACCTCAACTGGCTCCTTTCGATCCGGAGGAGCAGCAGTTCTACTCCGAGTCCCTCCCGAATGTCCGAGCTCCTCACCCTATCTCTAAGGCTGAGCCCGACCACCCTACGGAGGAAACTCATTTCGGCCGCTTGTATCCGCGATCTCGTTCTGTCGGTCATTACCCAAAGCTCATGACCATAGGTGAGGATTGGGACGTAGATCGACCGGTAAATCGAGAGCCTGGCTTTCTGGCTCAGCTCCCTCTTCACCACGACAGATCGGCTCAGCGTCCGCATCACTGCAGACGCCGAACCAATCCGCCTGTCGATCTCCCGATCTCTCCTACCCTCACTCGTGAACAAGACCCCGAGATACTTAAACTCCTCCACTTGAGGTAGGACCTCTCCCCCGACCCGGAGTTGGCAAGCCACCCTTTTCCGGTGGAGAATTTGGGATTTCTTTAATTTGGGGATCGTTAAAAGCATATTTGAGAGGACAGGTTATTTCATATTGTGCAAGGCAAAGGAAGGAGCGTACAAGTTGACTCATGCGATTGGCCGATGAAATTTTGAAATTAGATCTGTTGTACAGTGCCTCACCTTCAGATACTTTGCACAAACTGTGCCTGACTCTCAAAATGGAATTTGACCTCCTTTCGACCAACCAAGTAGAAAATTTGATTTTGAAATCCAATCTTAAGTATTATGAACACGGGGAAAGAGCAGGTAAAGTTTTGGCACGCCAGCTGCGTCAGAGACCTGCTAACCAATATATATCGGAAGTTAATGATGAGCAAAACATAAAACACACAGATGTCTTTGAAATCAACAGGTGTTTCCACAACTATACTCAAG